AATTCAAAAACTTTATATACTTTTAATTCAAGATGTATAATTTGATGTCTTTTACAATGCTAGTATTCTACTAATGTTTTTGGATTTTGAGTTCTTTACATGGTGCACCACTGGTAACAACCTGGTGATACTTTAATGGCAAGTATTACCTTGATATGATTTCCATTAAAACATAGTGGCATAAGAGTATTGTTGTGTTGTATTGTATTGTAGAGTATTGTATCTTCTGACAAATAATGAAATTTATAAGTTTTTCTGAGCGTATATAATTGGTTTTAGCAAATTACATTGAAACACTAACGCACATATCCAGTTTTATTGATGTAATCTTGTTTTGAATCGAGTAAATAAAAGGAAAATTAGATAATATTTCTTATACATGGAGTATATTAAATTATTCTAGAATGTCTCTAAAAATTCTAGTAGTCTACAATTAGATGATAACTTCCATTTGTTTTTTCGTGCATGCGGCGGTTACAACTTGGCATCAAGTCGACGAGAAAAAGTTGCATTGTTATGATTTAATGATGCTAATACATGAGCTCAGCGCCTGGAAAGTGATAAAGCTGCTGCAATACGAGGCATTTGGACAATGTTGAATAGTATATTAGAAAAACATTATAAGCCAACAGAAAACTTGACAATCCACAAGCAACTTTATCCATATCGAAGTACAACTAAATTTACTCATTGTTAGTATATTCCGTCAAAAACCTGGAATTAAAGTTATGGATCCGGTAGACACATTACAATGGATATTTACTTCAGTAGTCTTCCACTGGCAATATTTTTACTGTCTTGAAATTTGACAATTGTTAACACTTTCAAGCAAAATAAAGCATGTTTTTTTTCAAATCAAATTAACCCTCCTACGTGCAGACGGGTCTGGCCAGGCATATTTCATTTTTAGACGATAATTAAATATGGTTTTAATTAAGATATGAACCTGCGCTTCTAGGCAGCTTCCTAAAATTTCATTGGCTATTGAGAGGTCTAATTTCATATTGATAAATGTCTTTGAACAGGACGAAAAAAGAATTCTAAAATATTACACCTTACTTAATGCGGAGTGCCTGGCCAGGCCCCTGTGTGTTTTGTATGGAAATACATGAAATATGGCACGATTTTATCGCTTCACTCGCTTTTTATTGCTTGCCGCATAAATACATGCACAAGCATAGTGTTGTGTGCCAGTACCCTTATATCGAACCCTTTATGGACTCTACTATCCCTCTATGGGATACCTGTTTAGGATTCGGATTCCGCTCTATATATGAGCTTTATGGATATATATTTCCGGCTGGGGCGGAGTTTTTGAGATCTTGTTGAAGCCGCCATTCTGTCTCTAACCTTCGTTGTGAAATAAATCTTTGTTGTGAAAGTTGATTAGTTCCTTTGTGCCAATTTTTAGCTTGTGTTTTTGTTGTGTTTCTTCGAACTGTGCATAAAAATGAGTGATGAGATCGAGTTCGTATACAATACGCGATTACGTGCAAGAACAATAAGTAACGAATTTAATATAACCGCGTTATTGAACGATATCCAAACTAATAATAACGATATTGAGCATGAAGATAACGATCCATATGATGACGACGATTATAGAGACGCCGATTATTTGCAGCCAGATGATGCTTCCGATATTGAAAATGAAATGGAAATCGAGCCAAATGAAATATTGGACAGCGATGAAGAGGAAATTATCGATGGACAAGAAGAAGATGCATGTGAAATTCCGGTCGCTGATGCATCATCATTTTATGGGAAAGACGGTACCAAATGGAAAAAAGAACCCAATGTAGCAATTCGTATGCGTGCACATAACATTATGCATTTTCGACTGGCCCAAAGTGTCAAACGTCCGTGCCAATCGAGGCATTCAAATTGTTTTACTCTACAAATATTTCGTACATAATCATAATTGAAACCAATCGATATGGACGCGATCAATTTATAAAATGGAATGCACAAAACCCAGATTCAAAGCCTAAAGTATGGATTGATTTGACGAGCACGGAACTCGATGCGTGCTTTTATTGGCATTCTCATTGCTGCTGGTGTGACTCATAATAATATGCAAAGCGTTTCGGTATTATGGCAATCAGATGCACTCCCTATCTTTCGTGCGGCCATGTCATTCAATAGATTTAAACTGCTGTTACGACACATACGCTTTGATGATGGCCGTATAAGAGCATTTCGTGCGCAATCGGATAAAGCCGCTCCGATCAGAATTGCCTGAATGAAAATCTTGCCAAATATTATGAACCACACGAAAATATAACGATCGACGAGGAACTATTTCCGTACAGGGGTAGAACAAAGTTCACACAATTTATTCCATCGAAGCCAGCGAAATACGGTATGAAAGTATGGTGGGCATGTGATGCAAAAACGAAATATCCACTGCAAGGCATTTTGTACACTGGCAAAGACGAGAAGAACAGTGTCGCGTTGTGTTTTTTGCACATGAACTATCCCAATATACCGCAAGATTACATTGCCTAGGGACATATACTTTTTTCGTTGATACCGCTGAATGCAATTTTTGCAAGAAACAACTGAAATGCTGTGGGGGAAGAACTAGCTCAATTCGAAAACATTTAAGACATATTATTTTCGATAACGAGAAAAACTCTTCCGAAACTTCAACTTCTAGAAAGCGACAAAGGTAAATAATTTATCAGGTTTTAATATTTTATCAATATTCATTTACTAATAATCTTTATTTAATTGAATCTTTTTCGGGCAATCAAGTGCGCAATTAAGTATAAAAGTTTTATAAAATCTAATTTGGAACACATTAAAATTAATATCAGCTTATACGTATTTAACATGTAGTGATATGAAAAACAACATTTTTGCTTAACATACACAGTGCCAATTACAGCGACTTTTTGCATAGATTTTTTGTTATGTGTGTTAGTTTTCAATCCTTGATAGAAATAATAAATTTTTCACAAATTGTTTTAAAACTCATAGTTGGTATCACTATAATTCTACCAAATATTGTAGTAGTTGCATTAGTTATCCAACACTGTACTCATAGTTTTGAATAACTATACTTATATAGATTTGAATAACTAATGCAAAAAGCATATATCACTGTTTCTGAAAATTTTTATAGTATCGCTAATACTTTTATAATAAATAGCACAACGCAAATTCTCGAAGGAGTTTACGTTTTGACCAGAAAATCCTACTTGCTAGTTTCATGTCAATGATATAAATTAATATAAAACTTAAATATCTAATTATTTTATAATAGTCCATCATTGGTCCTATTGATTATTCAACTTTGATCAATGTTTAGAATTTTTTATCATTATATACATATGCACATAAATAATGTTAGTGAATAAACATATTTCACTGTTTTAGATGTTCAATGAACTTTGAAAAAGAGGTAGAGATCCAGAGTGACGCATCACTTCAGCTGATTCTCAAACAAGTTCATTGACGCAGGCAAAAATCACAGGAGCATTTCGAAGCAGCAGGTATTTGAAAGCGACAGATATACCACTAAGTTTTATGCAACGTAAAGGACTCCAGAAATTTATGAAATTTCTCGAAACTACATATTAAATTCCATCAGAAGGTACTGCTTTGAGTCGTGTAAAATTATTATATGACAACAAAACCAGTGAGTTAAGAATTTGTTGTCTGAAGCAAAAAATGTGGCAATCACAACCGAATTATTACTGGTCATGTAATAGACAACACATGGAAGTATAACCCCGTTCGGCATATAAGTCAGAAAGATGACAATGTTATCCGAAACATGTTGACTTTTAGAGCTCAGTAAAATGTTATCTTTCCGATAACTTTTTGCTGATGTCATTTCAAAGCGATGTCAATGTTAACTAAATGATAACTTTTTGAGGACTTGTGTAGGTATCTTTATGACATCAAAAAGGTAACTTTCCAATGTGATTACCATAACCTTATTTAACAACAGCTGATTTTTATAACCAATAATCAATACTTGAATATGTGTTTATTGTGTTTACTGTAACCTAAAATAATTCAACTTTCAGTGTCAGTGTAAAAAGTAAAAAATACATCATTCGCAACAATGCCGAAAAAGAAAATATTTCAAGAATTATCAAAAAGTCAAAAAAATAAACGCTTACGCCAATTTCAAATTGAAAATTTATCAAATGCATCTACTAGTGAAACTTGTGAAAATAATAGTGAATCTAATTCTGACTCTGCTAATAATAAAAAGGTGATGGATAATAGTAATATAAGCTATATATTGATAACAGTGAAATTAGCAATCTCATTGATAATAATGAAATCAGTGATATCAGTGATGATAGTAGTTCTGATGAAAATTTGGATGTTCAAGACGTTTCAATCGGTGATGACTCAACAGATCATGCTTCAGTGAATTTAAGTTTGTCAACAAAACTCTGTCAGTGGATAACTCACTATAATATTTCACGTGATGCAGCGGGTAAACTTCTAAGAATATTAAAAACATCGAAGCACGAGGAAATTGTTAATCTACCGTTGGATCCTAGAACATTGCTCGGTACACCGGAAGCACCTATAATAACTCGTAAAGTCCCACCTGGTGAATATTATCATTATGGACTAGAAACATCATTAATAGATCAATTCAATCTTGTTGATTACCTAATTCTATTGTCATCAATATCAATATAGATGGATTGCCAATCACAAAAAGCTCTACCAGCCAACTGTATTCCATCCTTGCTCAGGTTCATCCTAAAGTTTCTCAGCCATTTGTTATAGGAATATATCATGGCTATGAAAAACCTCATAGTTGCAAAGTATTTTTGGAAGAATTTTTAAATGAGTATAAAAACTTACATACAACAGGTTTTAATTACAAAAACCGGAATTTTAAAGTTGTCATAAGAGCGATTATCTGTGATAGTCTAGCAAGGCCTTTCGTCACCTGTACAAAATTGCACAATGGATATTATGAATGTGGAAAATGAAGAGAAGAGGGTGATTACAAAGATCATAGAATGTTATTTGTAAACGTAGACGCAGCGTTACGAACTGATCAAAATTTTATTGATGGTATTGATGAAGATCATCATGTCGGCCAATCACCATTCGAAGAAGCAGGTATAGACATGGTTTCACAGTTCCCGATTGACTACATGCGCAACTGCTGTCTTGGAGTGATTTTGACAACATTTGTAAAAGTTTCCCACGCACATAAATGGTCAGCAAAACAAATTGCCGAAATTTCTGGGCAGCTAGTTAAAATTGCAAAATGGATTCCACAAGAATTTGCAAGAAAACCACGCAAATTGCAATATGTAGATCGATTTAAGGCCACAGAGTTTCGTCAATTTCTATTGTATACACTATACAGGTCCAATTGTTTTCTCAAATTATTTACCACGAAGTTACCAAATTCACTTCAATTCATTACATTGTGCTATTAGAATTTTGAGTCATGAAGAAGATTGTCTACGTAACAATGATTGTGCAAGGTCTTTATTGATATACTTTGTCGAAAATTGTAAAACGTTGTACGAAGAAAAAATTTTAGTATATAATTCTCACAATTTAATTCATTTGCCTGACGATGTTTTAAAATTCGGACATCTTGATTCTATAAGTGCTTTTCCATTTGAAAATTACTTATATATTCTGAAAAAAAAATTAAAAAAAAAGCAGGTCAACCTTTGCAGCAATTGCATAGAAGAATTGTTGAAAACAATTTATGTCGCACTCCATCGAACAATCAAATTTATAATCAACCAGTTGTAGCTGATCAAAATTTAGAAATTTCTAAAAACTTAAAAATGATTAGTTATAATAAAATACATTTTAAACAATTTTCGCTGTCGTTGAAAAACCAAGGTGATAAGTATTGTTATTTAAGAAACAATGTTCTTCTTCGAGTGAAAAATATTAGTGTGAGTGATGGTAAAATAAGCTTAACAGGAGAATCATTATTAGATCCTGTAAGCTTTCCTAATTATCCTGTTAGTTCACTTGACTTTCAGATATACGTCGGAAATACGTGGTGGTCTCAAACAATGCTTTTTAGTGCTGAAGAAGTAAAAATGAAAGCAGTTTGCATCCCCTATAAAGAAACTTTCTGTTTTCTACCCTTAATCCATTCAGATATCGAATCATAGTGCTATATAAAATTTTTATATAATTTTATGACATTAAAATTGATAGATATCTAATAATTTTTTTATTTTAATTAACCTTTGTATTAATTTATTATTTGTTAATAAAACTTTTGAAAATTGTCAGATTTTGCTATTTTTAGAGTTTTTGAATTTCATTATATCATTGTTAAAAAACAATTTTAATTATTTACATTTTAAAGAATAAAATTGGTGATCTATTAAAAATAATTCGATGTTGAAACATGTAAAAAATTTAATTGTTTGTGCTTTTGGCGCCAAAAGCGGCCATTTTGCTTTATATACTACAAAACCTCTCACTTATCCATAAGAGAGTGGTTGTTGACAAGCGTGAATTACATTGGGTGCGTTCCACTAAGCGCTCACAACGCTCAAAATACCCATTAAGCCGTTCCACATGACGACCGCGGTCGCTGTGATCGCGGCGAAAACGTCACTACTGACGTCATAACTTTCGCTCACGTCAAGCTCACAACGACCCATCTAAAAAGGTGGGTCGAAGTGGACGTTGTTGAGAAAATTTAGGCGCAATATTTGAAATTGTTTTTGAAATATGATATTTTGAACTCGAAGATGGCGACGGAAAAATTATCTTATACGATGTGATCGAGATATTGCTGTGGAAGCGAATGTTTCTCCGGCTGAAGCTAAACGTGCGAGGGCAGGTAAATATAATTACACTAAATTTATGTAATAAAATTAATTTTAGTCTATATTCAACAGCCATTATACATTTCTCTCATTTAACAATGATGACCTAACCTCATATATAATTAATGCCCATATTAATTGAAAAATTATTCCTTCTATGAAAAATTTATTTTGTTTGTAGACCAATATTTTGCTACAGAACTTTTAAGAACTTTAGTAAATCAAGATCCTCATAAGGCATCTACATCTACTTCTCATGTAGAACATGAGGATGCTGAATTCTACAATGAAGAATTTCTTGAAAGCAATGACGAAGAAGTACTTGGTAGTGAAGACGCAGGTGAACTTAACTCTGAAACTCAAGAATCTGAAGGTATATTAAAAATATAAATTCTGTTATCATCCTATTCTTAACATTTATTATATGAGGATGTCAGTTACATATGTGGTTTTTGTGTTTCTTATTAATAAATTACATTTTTTTCTATATGCAGGTGGAGCTTCTTCATACAGGTGGTCTTCACCCGCTGTATTACTCTTATTAGAGACTTACAGATCCATGGAACAAATACTCAATAGTGGGAAAATGTCCCATAAACAAGTCTGGAAAAAAATATCCGAGAAGTTGACAAAAATGGTCATAATGTCACCGGACCGCAATGCTATTCTAAACTGCGAAGTCTGAAGAAAACCTATAAGTCAACTAAGGATCATAATAACAAATCGGGAAATGATCGAAAGACTTGGAAGTTTTACGAAGTTTGTACAAATTTCTCAATATTCTGCTTAATTTTTCGATACAGTTAATTTTTCTATAATTATAAATAAATTAGTTTCTAATTATTGTACTATACTAGTTATAACTATTGTAATATATCTTGTAATTTTTGTAGATAATGGATGAAATATTTGGCAAAAAGGCATGGTGCGATCCAGTTGCCGTTGCATCTTCTACTGGTCTTTCTTCCAAAAAAACAGAAAGTAACGATAGTGCGGTGGGATCTGATAGCGGATGTTCATCAAGTGAGTAATTATATCAGATAATTGAATTCATGAATATATTCATGTACAAATCGAATTATTTTTCAGAATCGAATAAGCCATCAGTAACAACTTTATTGGGAAAAAGATTAAAACAGAAAGAAGAACATGAGGAAAATAGAAAGAAAAGACACCGAGAGAGAATGGAAATGGATGAAAAATTCCTCAAAGTTTTAGAAAAACTAGCTGAAAACCTGATTGTAACCTAACCTCTTCAAGCTTTGACTTTCATTCCTTTCATTTTTCAAACCACGCCATTTGTAATGTTTATATGAACGCTCAAAACGCTTCATAATCCATTCCACTTGAGTTGATGATAGCAACGATCAGAAGCAAGTGGAATGATATAAACCGCGGTCGTGAGCGTGATCGTTGTGAGCGCTTAGTGGAACGCACCCATTATCATTCGTTCGTCATTGCTTATATTGTTTTCATTAAATTATTGTAATATAATATAAAAGTATTATTTTTAACTGACAGTGCTGAAAATATAAATAATAGTCTTTGCGTTCCAGATTATTCATTAGCTGTCAATAATTTAATTGACTAATAAATAAACTTGTAAGTATGAATATAGGTTATAAACACATTTTTTTCATGTTTTATAACTAATTTAATTATTTAAAATTGTTATAACATAATGCCCGTCGCTCTTTTAATTAATTGCAGTAAAAATATTTTAATCTTCAAATTATTATTAATTTTAAATATTTTTTTACATTTTTGTTGATTGAATTAATACATAAATGATTTGATTAATTAAAAAAAAAACTTTACGGCATCATCTTTCTAAGGTGTCTAATAAAATATAGAATGCGCTAAATTTAATGAATATTTACAATTTCTGATTTGATTTTTTTTTTTTAAGATTCAACACAAGATGTATTTTGTGGTGTTTTGGAATAAAACGTCAGGAATCGTGCCGGAATGGTGGGTCGATTCAGATTCACGAATGTTTAAGTGGCCGAAAACAAAAAACCCTACCTTACAAATCATTAGAGCTGACAATCCCAAAGATAATTGGATCACTTATAAGTATATTCGACTGAGCGGTCCATTTGGTAAAATTATTTACACTATGCAATTAAATATATAATCGTTGATCAAAAATAATTTTTTCTAATCTCTTCATGTATTTCTGTACTTGAGCTTACAATTATGAATATGCTAATGTTAGCAGTAATTCACTATAGGCATTTAATTATCTAATTTACTATAATATATTACATTATATCAATAGTGAGATAATAATTTATTTATCATTTGCTTTTTGTAACAGAGACGTATGATGAAGCACGAGATTTTGAACTAGATGCCCTAAATCTGTCTACAAATGATGAAGGTTTTGCTGCTATTAAAGCTAATATAAAATTAGATATAGCAAACAAAGAAAAGAGAATGTGCCGTAAACCTTCACGCTTTTGTGATACAGAAGATGACTCTACCCTTGTACAAAATAGTAAGTATTTATTATATCTTTACCTAAAGTCTTTTCTGTGATAATTTTAATATTAATTTTATTTCTTATATAGAAACTAAATGTAAGAAAAAGCTAGCATCGGTATTAAGTGAAAGTGAAGGTATGGAACATATAAAGTTATTTAATTATAAACAATCATTTCGTTCCATATTAATCGAACACTTTATTTTCAGAAAGCGAAATTGATAATATTAAAATGCCTTCTACTACCTACGTGACTCAAAATAATGGTCAGAAGTCACTAACAGCAAGTAAAAGCTGTACTTCAACTCGTCATAGCAGTGATGATGACTCAATTGGAAGTTCGTCTGCAAATTTAGCGTAAGATTCTGATTTTTGTCGGAAGGATAGTCCTCAGTCTCCCCGTTTAAATAACGACTCTGATAGCATTGGTATGGTCGCATTTAAAAGATTTTTTTTTTATTAATTTTATTTAATCGACTTAATCCAATTTTTATTTATTTATTGAAGATTCATCTAATGTACGCCTGCGTACAATGCCTCAGATAAGAAGCATCAAAACGTCCAGTAATTTAATTTTATCTCAATTTTTTTTACACATTTATTTCACTTTTTCTAATTTTTGTCATTTTAAAATTATTATTTATAGATAGTCCGATTAGAATCAAAATAGATCCCTCTCGTCGATCAAGTATGGAACAACCGTCTCCTATCTTTATTCGACCTCGTGCAGAACTTCCAGCTGATGACCAGACGTCTTTCTCTGTTTCAAGTGAGGTGGATACGCATGGTCATGACTGTTGTCGTAAGTATTAATTTAGTAATTAAAATGTTCTTATTTATATTTGTATTATCGTTATAAATTTTGCAATATTCATGTATGGACAGGGAAATTATTAAGCGAAGTGAAAAGTTTAAAAACTTTGGTTTCGTCAATTTATTTGACGCTCTCGGAAAAAAATGACATCACCAACAATAATACTGTCAAGGAAAGAATAGATTTTCGATTGCCAATCCAAACTCGGAGTCAGTTGGCAGTATTTGAGACGAAAATTCAAAATGTCATCGCAGCTACTCAATATGTAAGTTTTTTTTATTGCAAATTTAACTTTGAACCTATAAACCTAATTGCATGATCAAATTTCTATTCATTACTTATCAATTTATTTCTGCTTATTATTTAATTATGTCTTAGACTTATTGTTTTTAAATACTATATCTTCATTGCTTTGTTTTTCTCTGTTATTATTTCAAAGCGAGAAAATATTAAGCAGCTTGGCGGTGCAAGTTTTGAAAAGCATGCAAGGAACGCGTTGGTGTTGACTGTTTCTGATGTTATGGCTTATAACATGAGTTGGACAGGTGTCAAAAATACGATTAAGATCGATGGCTTAATATTTATAAAATTGATCACAGGTAAAGCTTGCCTATTTTACAAATAATGCAACTTTAGAATTCCTAAACTTTTGTTATTTTATAACTCAGTTTGTCTCATTATATTGAATAGAATACGAATTACTTCAATCTTTAAACTGTAACTTTATTCATAATTCTATTTTTCAGATGCAGTTTTACAAAATGGAGTGAAAGGAAAGAATTGAAAAAGTTTTCAAGTCATGGTTCCAACATGCTGGCGATCGTCTTAAATAACACTAAATAATCATAATAATCACTGGAACCGTAAAAATATTGATAAGATTACTTATATGAAAATGTAATATTATTTTTATTGTGTTATCAAATAAAAATTATTTAAACAATTTTTTCCTTATTAATTATACAATAGCCTCTTATTTGTAACATAAAAATGTTAACATTACGATCTCTGAAAAATGTTAACATTATGATC